GCTTATAGAATATTTCATCTGCCTCTTCATCCTGGTTGGGTGGTCTATAACAGACTCCCACCATGATATCTGCCTTGTTGGCCTTCCCCCTTGGTTCTTACCATAATCACTCAACCCTATTGTCACCATCATTAAGCTCTAGACAATCAAAACACTCCCTAACATACAGGGCTACCCCACCTGCGCTTTGGTTCCCTAAGATAAATGTCAGACAGCTGGTTGTGCTGGGCCTCTCTATTTTTATTAACCGAGAATGACTGAAATTGCCAAGTCTGCTTCTCACCCATTTTGTATAACTTTGAACTGTATAAATGGTGCCCCACCAAACCGAAGGGAAGTGTTACCTAACAGCGCGCTCTGCATGCAGCAACAATTCTGAGAATGATGCTAAATCAAGTTTGATGAAAAGGAGATGATATTCATTCATTGCCTAGATATTTACCTAGAATTTTATTCTGTCATTTCAAAAGAGAGAGTATTAATATTGCAAATACCACACTCTCTAAGGAACCTACCACTATATTCTATATGTTTTATACAGACTGACACAGAAGAGTTAACTCATCCACACAGTTAAAAAGATACTGACAGAAAATATGCACATTTCTATTTTGAAGTGAACAGATTTTTCCCTCAGTTTGTGTGTTTTTTACCACTTCACAAGCTGTTTAGTCACTGTAGCTCTAAAAGTATACCTAAGCAAGCACATTCCTAGTCAGCAAAACTTATCTCTCAAAGCTTATTACTATCTCCAGAAGAAAATAGATGGTGTACGCATTTCAGCTTAGACTATCTTCAAGTATCTCTGGCAGCGAGCCTCTCTTCGGCTCTATATAAATTGTTGTATGATCAGCAAAAGGCAGTGTTTCGAGGCAGCCATTGCATTTGGCAAGAATATTTAACAGTATAGGATGCAGCAAGTATAAGGAAAAAACCTTGCCTGAGTGCTGCACAATTCCTCAGTGTCAACCTACATAAATGGCAGACCCTAAGCAGTATACAGCCTCAGAAAAATTTTGCCTTTGCTTCACCTACAGATGTGATGTGAGAACCAGCTCACCTAGCTCTGGACACCTACCACCTAGGTGCCTGCACCCAAGCAGATCACCCTAAGCTCCTTTACAGGAGAGAAATAAACACCCCTGGGCATCCAACCTATATTAGGCATTTATTTTTGGGTAAGATTAAAGGCTCCTATTTCTCTCCTCTGACTGTAAAAGCTAACTTTCACAGCATCTTGTCCACACCAGCTCAGATGAATCCTAGCCATGATGTCTCCTGCAGAAGATCCCATGTTTCTGACTATCCTGCTCACTCAGGCAGCGGCTGCTGCAGGTCCCAGGTCTCAGCAGCGTGGGGAACTGGAAGCACCTGCCTGCCCAGAGAAGCCAAAATCATCACTCGGCTCCTGGTTAGCAGACCCAAGCATTGGCACCTTGCGGACCGAAGCAGCTCCCAAGAAGGTCCCTGCCAGGTCTGATGTCACCACACAGGGTGCCCTAAGTTTTAACCTCTGCACGCTGTAGACAGTGCTTCTTTCCCCACTGCAAGAAACAACTAGTTTTTGCTACAAAACATTGGTGGTTTCCCTCTGCAAAGAGTTAACCAGGGACAACGGACTGTCATCCTGGGCACGCTGACTAGGTCTACGGTCTCTCCAGGGAGGGGACAACAATCATAGCCAACCTAGGACAAACCTGAAGTCCCCAAGGCACTCAGCGGGCCACCCACAGGAGAGTCGGGCATCTCTATGCCTGCTACCCTGCTCCAGCTCCCCAGTTCCTCCAAGGTCCTAGCACACACACTGGCATCCATTTTCCTCCTGTGTGCCTTAATAAACTTAAATATCTGATGCCAACACTCCCACACTGAGCCCTGAATTGCACCAGCAAGCACCGAGCTATTCCCACCTAGGTCTCCCTCATCTGTTTAACTTCCAAGTGCTGGTGGGGTAGGACCAACCTCTTCCTTTAGTCCCTGACACGGCAGATATTTATTTGAGTGCTTAATTTAGCAACCAAGAACACTCTCCCCAGCTCTACCAAAATTACTCATGCTGATCAAATTAAGCAAGTGTCATATGCCTCCAGAATTGGAGTCTAAACCCCATAAAACCTTGGCTGATCTGGAGATCTTAAATATTCTCTTTCTGCCTCCCTGTCTGCATGGACCTATCATCTCAATCATTGCTGTTCTCCCAAGGCCTCTCAGTGAGCCTGCACACTGCGGTAACAGTAAGTTGCTGCCGCCACATCACCTTTTATTTCCCGGCACATCATCATCAGAAAGAGACAGGCAAAAGGACTCCCTCCTCTTCCCATTTACTGAAGGAAGGAAACCACACGTCACCCTTATACACATGTAAGTCACATCAACATCAGTAGTAAAAGTAAGAATTGAAACAGAAGAGGAGATGCTTTAAGTTACAACTTTCTACTCTGCAAGCATGTATGAAAACTGGCAGTTCTGTGAACGTTTATTACACGTATCTGATTCATTAATCCCTATGGACACAATTCCTGAGTTGGTTTGTACTATTTACTGATCTCCCCTTTTCTTCCAGCCCCTCATGAACACAGTAGGATTTCTCTTCCACGGAGGGAAGGAACGTTAATATCCAAGCCAGAAATTTGCCATCTGAATGTTAAAAGCCAAGATGCTTTTTGCCATAAAATGACATGTTTTAAGGGAAACTTTCCTCAGAGTTTTATATTTTTACTTCAAGTGGTAAAAAAGTTTTTCTGCTTTCTATGTAGCTTTTCATCAATAGAGTTGTCTTGCAAAGTTCTGCACTAAACTCTGTGTGCTAAACCACATCACTATATGGGGTGTGTTTATATATACATATGCATGCACTTATATATATTTTCAAAGAGAACCAATGGACAGCTGTTAAACAGATGCATAAGCACTTCTGCTTATGCAAATGTAGATTACTCACCTCAAGTGCTGGTTAAAATAGCATGTAAATGGTTGCAAACCCACTTTCTCTTTCCAGTATTTCTGCTTGTACGTGACGTTCTCAGAGTTCTCCTGATCGTCTCTTGCACAGGGAGGGATGTATGAACACTGCCAACACACGGTGCAAAACAGAGTTACTTCTGCGCTCAAGAATGCAGGGCATCACTTCCTCTGCATTTTCGTCGCAATACCAGTGTGACCGAAATGGGCAAAGAATTATAAGTACAAGCTCCAAAGACACAAAAAAGAAAAGTTAGCTGAACTTTACTTCAATTGCTAGTTACTCCCTGCAAGTACTGGAAAAGAATATGCCAGCATTCAGAAACAAAATAAAAGCTTTATCATGTTTTGTTCCATTATCAAACCAACCTGCCACGTAACAACTTGGATTTTTGCATGATGAATGTAAAAATGATCATTTCATTTTGACATATTCCTAGCCAGCTGCATGGATTGGATTTGAATTACTTCCTATTTTCAGTGAGGCACGTAATCACACGTTTTGTTTAGCACCATGCTAATAAATAACCAAAATATTCCAGCAAGCTTTCCCAGATGATGGGGTATCTGATATCTGGCTGATATCCATTGGCAAAAGACAGGTATTCTTCCACTGCTACAACAGAGGGAAACAAGCACAGAAAGTTCAAAGCCCCACTTCAGCAGAAAGGCTCAGCATCTGCTTCTGCTGTATAGAAGTCAACAAGAGTTGAGCGTGCAGCTGAGCTATCTGTAGATCTCACCCTCAGACATCTGCTTCAAAGCCCAAAGAGATCAAGGGGAGTTCCTCCCCCAGCTCAGTGCACTTGGGTCTGGGCTTTCAGAGACTCAGCTCTGGGTAGCACACAACCCACATTCCTTATTTCCAAGTCTCGTCTTTGGCACACCACCCTTCCCTCCCAGCCACAGGATGTTAAGCAAGAAAAAAACAAATAGTCCACTGAATCCAATATTGGCCGTATCAGGATCTCAGTGTCCAAGCAAAATCCCTCCTATTGTTACCAGGCATCCATATGGGAGATCGTTACAGGAGACGTTGAACCAAACTGAGTAACACAGCTTAACTGATCCTTGGACAGCATAAAGGCTTTTTGCCCTGGAGGACACAGAGACAGCGAGGTTCCAGGTGCACACACAGATTTTTAATTCCTTTAAAGCTGGGAGCAGCAAGCAGAAAAAAGTGATTGGGAAGGTAGCTAAAAAGCCTCCTACTTAGGTAGGATGAGGAAGCAGGAGATGCAGGGTGTGGGAAGCCCCTTAAGGGATCCCCACATATGATCACAACATGGGTTTCTTCATAGTATCCTGAAGGCAATAACAACAAAGAGAGAGATATTCTCTCTAACCTGAAAATAAAGATCACCATGACTCACTGTGCCTAGTGAGTGCTTTCCTCTCCCTCTCCATCTGGTGAGGTTTCACAGGGGCCTACCGTGCCCCCAGATACATGCTATACCCAAGATGTACAGACCTAAAAGTCCATCTCCACTGTACAACAGCTTGAATCTTTGCCATTCCAGGGGGATGGAAGAAATCTCACGATTTTATTGGCCTGACCATGTAAAACCTGACCACTTCTGTCAGCACTTACAATTGCTGCCAGTAGCTTCCATGCTTCAGACTGGAAGGATCTGCAAGGTCTTGCTTGTTGCTTCCAAGCTGAAACTTGCCTTTTTCACATGCAAGGGCCTCTGTTTCCACATGGGCCCGCATCTGGTGTTGCCACGGCACAGAGCTCCCTTTAGATCCCTGTTCAGATGACCTTAAACAAGGATTCTCCCACTGATGACAAAGGACAGAAATGAGCAGCAACACCACTCTGCTTCAGAAACCAGAATGCAGTATTTATCACACACAGTTATTTCCATCTTAGATAATATTCCTTGGCCGGCAATGTTTTTGGTTTGATTGCGTACTTGGGAAGCATCAGCCACACTCCTCTTTCCTCCAACCTCCCAGTGCACAAACACATCTGTGCAGCAGCTGGATGGAGTCAGCAGAGTTGGCACAAAGACACCTGAGGGCAACGCTGACTCTGCTCTGTCCACCTGACAGCCACCAACGTGCTGCACCATTCCACCTGGTCCCTTGCCAGTCCTCCCTGCTCGGCCCAGCGTCCAGCACTCCCAACCTTCTCCAATCCGGTGTTTTTCTTCATGATGCCTTTCATATGCTGCTGTGGAAATAGTACCATATCCCACCGGTTGTACTTTTCCTGCCTGTGTCGGCTGTAATCTACACCCTGCTCTTCCCCAAGCCCCCAGCTTTTAGGGACACAAGAGATTAGAAGTAAGCAGGCTTTACTCAGAGTCCCCCCAACCAACCACTATTTAGCCAGCACACAAAAGGCAGAACTAGACAAAACAACTAGTTACCAATATACATTCTTCTGCCTAAATTTCCTCAGTGACCTCAAAAACTCCTCTTCCTGTGGTACCAGCTCCAGTACGCAGCTTCTCTCTCTCCTCTGAAATGTTTCTTCCTCATGGCTGAGCCTACTCCTGTCATCTGCTATGAAAGTGTGACCACCCCACCACTCCTCTGCTGGCCAAACTTTCTCTGGATCCTTCAGAGACCTTCCACCTCCCCCAAATATCACGTGAATCCTTCACAAAGTTCACAACCTGGTCAACCGTTGTTTATTCCCATCCTGAGTTTCAGACTTAGAAACAACTGCAGAGATCTCTTTTTCCAAGAGATGTCCACCTGAACAGACAAGCAGCAAACTGTAACAGTCCCCAAGGACAGCTCCATCACAGAGGACTTCACGTTTTTTGACATCGGTCCCCACGCTTTGAGCTTAGTATGAAGTTATTAAAAATAAGAGTTTTTCAGGGCAGGGATTTTGCTTGATTTGGAAGATGTAAAAAGGGCCCACAGAAAGCTTCCCCAACCAACATGTCCATCTCTCCCCACACCAAGGCAAGACAGCATATGAGAGTACTGCCAGCACCTACATGAGGAATACCTGGAAATTGGGGACAACAGTGAATATGCTCTCCATAACTCAAACTTAGAATCATAGAATCATGGAATCATAGAACAGAATTATAGAATAGTTTGACTTGGAAGGGACCTTTAAGGGTCACCTAGTCCCACCCTCAGTAAAAGATTTCTTCCTCATATCTAGTCTAAATCTACCCCCCTTTAGTTTAAAGCCATTCCCCCTTCCTGTCGCAACAGGCCCTGCTAAAAAGTTTGCTGCCATCTTTTTTATAAAA